GTCCCGTGGTACTTGGGCATGGCGGCTAGGCATTGACTGACGCAGCACTCAGACTCTCAGTAAACTGCTTATCAAGGAAGACAGCATACTGAGTTCCCAAGATGAACTATGTGTAAATCTGAAATCCCTAAAGTTCCCCGCCGCTTCCGAATAGTCAACTCGAAACTTCCAGAGCACTAAACCCCCCACAAGACCCGAAGACCCTGAACACCAGAGTCCTTGCAGAATCCGTCATGGAAGCTTTTTAAGGGGTATTCGTCTAAGCACCTGTTAAAAAAAAAACATACAAAGCATATCAGTGCCAGAGAACACCTCTTGGCAGCACGGCAACTAAAAGACTTTCGGCGACTTGGACCCTGAACCCTAAACGACAATCTGCCGGGGTGGCAGTCTTCTTGGAGGAACTTTCTGCAGTAGGCAAAGAGGAGATGAAGATTCAAAAAGCAACGGAAGAAAATTAGGCCTCGCCCCGGCGTCGGCGCTTTCCCAGTGCCCCGGAGCGAGATAGCGACGAAGAGGCACAGCATGGCTCGCTGCTTTGATTTCGGGATGTATAGGGCATTGCACGACTTTACTCGGTGCTTCTCTTTTCGTGCACATGCCTGAGGCTTGAACTTTGAAGGCCAAGCGCTGAACTCCCTATCTACCCATCTGTCTATTGGTCTATCTATCTATCTACCTGGACCCCCAAAGGTATGTCGAATAATGGCCCTTTATGGGTACTGGACCATTCTTTTACCTACTTTGGGAGGTCTACGCATAGATCAATATCTAGCTCTGGTCGGGTGGATTCGCGGCTGTTGGAAGATAGTCGGAGTGTAGTCTCCGACATGCACAACGTTCTTCACATCCCGAACTATCTATCGAGTACTTGTGGGATCAGGGAGGTCTCGCGCAGCAGGGTGAAACCTGGAGATGCAAGCGCCCAAACATGGTGACATCTTGTTTTATTATGCCGCGCACGTTCAGAGTAAGATACTCTACTGTTTCAGGTCCAATGGCGCCTTGAGAAGACAGCCCTCGCCCAGCAGATGCGTGTCGACGAGGTAGCAGCGGACCGTTTCCTGGGTGTCGCTGGAGGATCTGCGGGGAATGAAGCTGACGTTTAATGAATATGAGTCTTCAGGTTCCCTTGTAAAGTACAGGTTCGTATCTACTTGCTCTCTCTCTCTCTCTCTCTCTGTGGGGAGATTTGTAAATATGCATGTCCGAATATGCTCGTACATGCGTATGTGCATGTCTCGAGTCTCGGCAGTTTATGGGAATCGAGCGGAAATCAGGTGCCGAAGCGCGGCACGCGTCTCGAGATGACCGAGGACTGCCACACGCACATGCCAGAAGTTGTCCTGTACTTGAGGGGTGTGGGCCGCTTGTTAATCACTGCTCTCCCCGTAAAAAGCTTAAAAACCCTAAACCCTAAGCCCAAAACCCTAAACCCTAAACCGTAGGGATTACATTCACCTCCTGGTTGGAAGAGCATCACGACCACCGTGAGGGCTCGACATGAGTACAAAACCATCAAGGCCTCAAGGCGCTCAGACATCAGGAGTTCTTAAGCTGCCCTAACCCTAAGGGTCCATGTACCCAAATAGTATATACTTCGGCCCCAATGTACCTACTTTAAGGCCAATGTATATACTATGTAGGTACATGGACCCTTAAACAAACCCTGTAAACAGTAGGATCCCGACGACTAAACCAGGGTAGCTAGCCCCTTCTCTTCGAGCAAGGCTGGCCCTTAAGCCTCTCAGACCTAAGGCGCAAACCCAAAGCCCTAAACCAAAGCCCGAAAGCGGGCCGAAATCCTGAGGGTCTGAAATCCCCCGATGTCGAAATCCCGAGGCCCGAAACATGAGAAAAGCTGTATCCCCCAAGAAACGTAACCCCTAAACCCTAAACCGTACAAGCCCTGGCCCTGTTAAAAACATTCACCCGAAACTTTAAACCATAACTCCCCAAATAATTTACCTTTCTAGGGACTTTATACAGAAATCATATGAGAGGGCCCTATAAAGGTAGGTTCCTAAGGGTCCAGGTAACCCTAAGCCCTAACATCCCCTTTCTCCAGAATGGCTCGGACTGGAAGCCCTTCTACGAGGGGCCAGTGGAGGCAGGGCGCCTTTAATCGAACTTCGGACGAGCGATCGGGAAACCGTCAAAAACCCTAAGCCCTTATAAATGCTGAACCCTAAGCCCTAAACCCTAAACTCCTAAACCCCTAGACCCCTAAACCCTCAACCTCGATCCCGAAACCCTAAACTCCTAAACCCTTAAACCCTAAACCTCGAAACCCTAATCCCTAAACCCTTTTAGCAGCCGTCAGCTCTTGGACTCGAAAGCCCTGAGCTTCAGGTCTCTTGACCTAGGCAGCCCTATAAATCCTAAAGCCCCGAAATTTTGAAATAACCAGAGGCTTTCTGCTTATTTGTTATTAGTGATACTATGACGATTATTATCATTGTTATTTTTATTATGATCATTATTTGTTCAGCCAGGACCCCCCCCAAATTTCCCTTTAATAGGAGCCTTAAGGTGCTTATTTTTTAATAGTGCGTATTTGGGGTACCATACAGGGTAGTTGGGGGGTCTAGCAACAGCTTCAGATGGCCACGGTTATCAAAAGCTCCTCTAAATTTCAAGGACGGCTTCAGCTTAAGAGTTTCGATCCTTTTGGGTTTACTTTGAGTTCGAAAGCTGGGAATTACTCCCTTTGGTGCGTCCGCACTGAGAAGGAACAATGAACAGCAATGCATGTCGTCGTGGTGGCAGGCGCGATATTGTCACTCATTGGTCGTTCTGATAAAGCCGTGCATGACGAGCTGAGATGACACTGAAGAAGACGATTGATAAACATGAAGATGCCGATGACGAGGATGGCTCCATGGATGCTACGTAGCACTCCCGCTGTTGCTTTGGTCATCCCAATCCCGGTTCCACCCAGCAAACAAGCCTGATCCTAAACCCAAACTGCCCAAAACCCCAAAACCCCAAGCCCTACATCCTTGATGTCAACATGCAGAGACTCATTATAGGACTAATCATTAGGGGTACAGCAGACTCCCTCATGACCCAAGGAAAACCATTATACCGACCCCTGAAACCTTGCCCAGTTTTTTTGGCCTCTATTTTACACAGGAGACTGGCGGTGGGGGCGACTGCCCATGTCGTTCTTGCCGCTCCCGCTGCCAAGAGGAGGCCAGAAAATCCGCTAGACCTTCCGCCCTGGGAAACCTAAAGGGGCCGCTCTTAGGGAAGCCGTCGCTTGTCCCGCTGGCAGCTCTGTTGTAGGATCGGCACGAACTCAAGTGAGATTCTGGGAATTCTTTCCCAAAGGATCCTTTCGGTATTGTTATGGGGAGATTTCCCAAAGACATGACTGCAAGATAAAAAATCCTGCATTGTACCATGCAGCTACTTAGGACCTGTTGGGTGTGCAGCGCCAGTGTTCCAGAAGTTCGTCCCCCTGCTTCTGAAGATCTTGAAGTCAGTGTTTATTTGAAGGGCCTGACGATTCTGGAGGTTCTTTCAAGTCGCAAGCCCTGAGCTTTGGATTTGGGAAGTGTGTAGTCGTACTCAATGCGATTCAGTTGTGTATAGAGCTAGGTTTGTACCGAATGCGTCAAGATTTGGGATTGAACTGTGTGTTGAGGGTACTTGTCGCAGGATGGGCTTTTGCGAGCCCTCTTCAGCTGCGGCATCTCTGCCGCAAGTGCCGAAGAAAGCTTTGAATGCAAGCATTCCAAGAACGGTGTCTGTAGCAATACGACACTATGACCCCAGACCCTACTCCAATAGCACAGTCCCCTTACTTAAATGAATTGCCCCAAACCTAAAGTCCACTCTGGATTTCGACAGCACCAGGGTCAAAAGTCTGGCAGACTTCTTGCCGTTCATCATTGGTCGAGGGACGGTAGCATCTCCTGTTCCAGCAGGAAGCCTTTGTCAGCCTTTGAACGCAACACAGCCCTGAAGAACAGACTTTAGCACTTCTAACCCTAAGCCCTATAACGCTATATCCCCAAAACCCTAGACCGTACATAACACCACAAAGCCCTAACCTCTGAAGCCTAAACCCCCGAAAGCCAAGGTAGCCAGGGTCCCCACCCTGTAACGACTTGCGTCACAGCCTCAGCGGGACCGCATGGATGATAAGGTGTGAGTCCGATGTGCCTGGCTTCTTCCACTCTTTGGGGCTTGACTGGAGTCTGTGTGTATTGCCTACGCCCTGAAGTAGAATTTATAGTGCTTGCCTGGGTTACGACTCAGCTTGCGCCGCAGTGTTACTTACTTGATGTCTCAGAGCCTCTTCGCGGCTATGACGAGCTTTGCAGTGTCGTGCTAATTATAAGCAAAAGGATGTCATGTCAGGTTGATGTTAGGTCTTGGGTGAGTTTACACATATGTTGGTGAGTTTACGGTTTGGGTGTTCTTGTGGCAATGCATACCTGTTGCTTCTCAGAGATGCTTTCCAAGTCACTGTCAATCACACTCAGTCGCAATTTCTCGTACATCCAGACCGTCAGCTCCCTAAACACTAAACCGAGCCCCTTTGAACTTATAGCGGGATATACTGCAGAGGGGTCTGCCGCAGCTTCTCAAGCAAATTGATTTCGCTGGCATGCCGTCAGCCTTAAGCGATTCGAAGAAGGAATGATGTGTCCAGTCCATGCCCCATGCTATCTCAACAGAGCATGAGACGTTTCAACATAGAAACTGAAGACAATGAGATCACTGCAATGCTACTAAATCAGTACGGCTACATGCCCTTTCATCCCAGATCTCCAATCCCTGGCTACACTGATGAAGGCTTGAAGCCTCGCCAAGACTGCAATCTCGTCGCAATTCCTTTGCTTCTCGTTTCTCTGCCTACTCTGTGTATGGTCTACTGCACACACACACACACACACACACACACAAGAAGCACCCTAAACCCTGATCCCAACTGTTGCCCCAAGCCCAAGCTCCACTCCCTCCCTGAACCCCAGCCCCTCCATCTCGGGATGTCGGCGGACTATGAGCTTCGCAGCTATGAGCGCAAGAGCGGCTCTTCGCCGCCGCTACCTGGAACTCTGGAGGTGCCTGAAGTCTCTACCCAGAAAGCCCTAAATCCGACTCCCATCGGTATTCACCTATAGTCTCCCTTGTAGTTCCTTTTTTTGGGTTAACCAAAATTTTCTATTATAGGATCCTAACCATAAAACTGGATAACCAAAAAAAGGAACTACAACCGAGACCACAGGCAGTATACATCCCTGTCTGTGTCCCTGAGTAAATTCGCAGGCCCGGAACCTTTGACCGGTCCAGGATGGTAGGATCCCGAACTTACTCTTTTTAGGCTGAACCCGTTGACTCAGGATGGAGAGTCTATACTCCTTTCTGCAAGGGATCAACACTTCCTGGTAAAGTCATGTACCCAAGAAGTGGCGAACCGTTGACGTAACGGGCGCCTCGCTTCAACCGGGCGCAGCTTTGTCATGACGAACCCCACACCCCACACAGCGCTTGGGCCTGTGTACAGGCTTGGTTTAATGTTTCTGGTCAGTCACAACACTAAGGCCCAGGCACTAATGGATACCCTGGAAGATCGGGGAGCCTAATAAGTACGTAGGCTGAAAGCTGGATGTGGAGACTATGCTGAATATATGCATAACACCCGAGATACATCAAGTAAGCCCAACATAGAGCCTTATATCCAGTAAGATCCAGCATTCTGTGCTGGCCGCATGGCAGGAGCCGCTACTGCTTCTCTTGGAGCAGTTCGGATTCTCGGCAATACGCGCCAGCTGCTTTAGCTTGTGCCGGGGGGGGGGGGGGCGTTGCAACCTTGTATGTTGTCTAAGCGGGCGTCATGCCGTACCATTTCCAGAAGCTGCCCTAAGCACCAAAAGCCGTAGTTACCCAAATCCCTCTGAGGACCAGACTTCCCAAACTATTTTGGTCCAGCGATGCGAAAAGTTCTCTTCTCCGAGCGAGATGCAGCGGATCCTTTCAGCGATTGCGCAGTGCCGAGCCCCAACAAGATGGTTTCGATTGTTCGGATTATATAAGACTCATCCCCTGATAGCCCTAAACCCTTAAGAGCCCCAGAATCTAAATCAATTAAGATGCGAGTACATCCGTATATCCTTTGAGCTGTTTCAGATGGAGAGCTGCTGCCAGAGACCCCTAACCTAGATCCCATTGGCTTGCCAAGTTCGGCCACCTTGTCGCAGTGTTGCGTATCCCGGACAAGTCTAAAGTCGGAAAGTGGCCATCTCCTAAGACCCTAAACCCTAAACCCTACCCTAAACCTTTATTAGGGTTTGGGGTTTAGGGTTTAGGGTCCTAAGACCCTTTGAACTGCCTTCAACGCTTGCCCCTCGTTCGTGCCCCGACACTGCATTGCGCCAGAACACGACGCAGAGTTCTGCTTTAGTCCCGTCCGTGGATTGCGCCGCGGGCAGAGGCAGAAGCCCTACCTAAATCCCCCAACGTATGTAAAATAATGGCCCAATTCCCCTGAAAGGCTATTATTCTACATAATTTTAGGGTCCAGGTAATTAAGCCCGTCCGTCAGCGAGTCCATATCAAACGGCAACCCGCGAGTCGGAGTAATCATGATCCCAGAACGCCCGGTGGTCCAAAACAGCTGAATTGCCTTTGTGAATATAGGATTTGGGGTTTAGGGTCTAAGGGTTTAAAATTTAAGGGTTTAGGGTTTAGTACTTGCGGGGGGTCCGGGTAAATTCAAAACAAAACTTAGGTGTTCGGCAGCTATGCCGTTCCGACTTCGGAAGCGCACCCCTTTGCAGCGCACTGCAACGTGTGGATCAACGTGAAATCCAAGGCTCGGAGTACCATACTAGTATAGCATAGTATCGTATCGTATAGTCTAGTACAGCAGAGAAAAGGATCGTAGGGTACGGTAGTTTGGCAGTTGGTTCCTTCGAGTTTGTTCTTTGGTCCTCAGGGCTTTGGGTACCCGAGAGCCTGTTCTGACGAGTTCAGTGGCTATCCTATAGCCCAAACCGTAGAACTCGAAAACTTCAGTCAGCCCCCGAACCCACGCAATAATGAAAACACATCCCAATCTACAACCCCATGCCAAGGTACAGAGGGCTTTAGGGTCTCGCTTCATAGACTCAAACACCAGTGCTGAAAATCCCCGTGCCAGGTAGGTCTCTTTGGTTTCGTGATCACGCATCCGGACCCGGAGCTGGGTCAGGATTTGCGTTTTTTTTTTTTACAAAGGGGTGGTTTTAGGTTTTCAGAAGGTTTGTATGGGTTTGTGTTAAGGGTGTTAGGGTGTTTATAGGGTCTTACTGGGGTTTGAGGGTTCCTTTACCCTTGGGGTGTAGGGTTGCTTGGTTTGGGGTGTCGGCACTATGTAGGCACGGGGTTAACCGTACTTTACACAACGTCAGTAGTCGAAGTTTGGGGAAGGAGCTGCTGCCGGACCCCCCACTTCTACTTTGTCGGACGTTTACCCTTACCTTTGGTTAGTAGGGAATGGAAGAATGGTAGTAATAGTAGTTATAATTGTACCCCGTTCCTCCATTCTCTACTAACCAAAGGTAAGTACCAAGCCAATATGGTTAGACTTTTAAGCAATCTTTCACCCTGCGATCGAGTTTGCACACTTGTTAGTAGAGTCAGAAGCTATGAAGCCTAATCGCATCGTAGGGCCAGGAGCACACTTGAGCCAAGAGTCGAGACTCAGACAAGCCCTGCTAGCAGAGCCTGCTCAACGCCCCTCAAAGCCATGTCAGTCCTCAACAAGCCGACAGTACACCCTAAACTGCTTAAGACCTTGCTTATAAGTCGTTCCACTTCTCTTTCTATCTGACGGCTTGTCATATAAGTCCTGAAACCCAAAGACCCCTTACCAAGCCGTATACGGCACTGAAGGACCATCGGGGCAGAGGCCTTGCCCGGAAAGTCGCTCGGATGTACTTCGAGCATGTGCAGATAATTTGTCTGCACAATTTTTGCCCAGGTGGTTTCCTGGACCCCAAAAGTATGTAGAATAATAGCCTTTTATGGGTATTGGGCAAATATTTTGCCAAGGTGGTTTGGGGTTTAGGACGTTGATAGGAATCAGCCAGCTCAGTTCCACCGCGAAGACCAGCAACTGCAGCAACAGCAACCTGGAAACCTCTAAAGCCCGGGGCCGTCAAGCTCAAATCCCCCCAAGGTTCAGGATTTTATAGTTGCTGTCGGGTTTAGGGTGTAGAGGTTTTCTAAACCTCCCAAAGTAGATAAAATTGTGGCCCAATACCCAAAAAAGGCTATTATTCTACATGCTTTTGGGGCCAGGTAGAGGTTTAGGGCTTGAGAAGTTGCAGAGCCAGGTCTGTGAGGACGTCATGCGACAGCACGATGCAAAGTTCCCCAAGTGCCTGAGCTCCGGAGTTATTGTTGAATTCCGGTAATATAGGGCCTTAATAATTAGAACAGGGTTTTGGAGCCCGTTATACTGTAATTATAATAAGGAACCCCCCCAAAAAACAGTATAGGTAATTATTTAGGCCCCTATATTAGAGGGCTTAGTTTCCGGCAGTGCTTCAGTTTCTGGCTCCTGGGCTACACGGACCCGCGGGATGCATGTGACTGGAAGCTTCAAGGATTACGCTTGTACTGCTGTTGGCATTTTCATTCTAAGGAGTTGTTCTCTCTTTCGCAGCTTCGTAGCAGAGAGGCCACGAATTATCATCCAAGCAAGACTTTGAATCATCTGAGATCCTTGCTGCTTCTCGGAACTGGCAGTGCTGCTGCCGCGAAGCTGGTCTGGAACATCGGGTTTTACCGGGATGTCGTTGCATCTGTTTCTGAATCTCTTGCAGCATATCACTGTGCCTGTGCATGAAGACTGTTGCAAGAACGGCCTACGGATAGGTACGGTAATTAGTCGTTCTCTTGCCGGTATCTTGTCGGTCTTGCGGCCGTTATCGTCCGAACTTCTACTTGGAGACTTCGTCAGTGGCAGTACGTGTCACCAGTTTCAAAGAATGGATCTTCTGTTGCTTAGCGATTGGGCTCAAGGCTTGGGAGTCGCGGATCTTCTGGTCGGGCTCTACCCCAAGAAACCTGGGAGAAGTCCGTGCAAGCCCTACCTAAACCCCCCGAAAGTAGTTAAAATAATGGCCAGTACCCATAAAAGGCTATTATTCTGCATACTTTTGGGTCCAGGTAGAACCCATTGGTTTGTATAGGTTGAGGATTAGGGTCGCGAGCTACCGCAGCTGCCAGGCAGGGGGGAAGAATGATGTTTTGCAGTGGAATCCTAAAGTAAGCACCAAACAATGCCAGCCGTATGCACATCACGAAAACTGTGATGAAGGTCATAATTCATGTTGATGTTGGCCGACTCCCTCGATCCCAAACTCTCGCAACCTACCCTGTACCCCAGACATCCTCCCAATGAAAACAGAATACCTTCGGCATAAAGCCCTGAATAAGCCTTTGTACCTTAAATACGCTTGGCTGTCAATCCGGAACCCTAGCTGCTTAAAAACCCTTGGAACACCTAAAAATTGCATAGATACTCTTTGAACATGGCCAGTTCCGGCAAATTCCATAAAATTGGACATCGCTCAAACTTACAAATACCCCCCAGAAAAGGAAGATCTACCAGAGCCTCGGTTTCGCACACCTCTGCGGTGGCTTTGACAATGGCCTGACGCTTGGAGTTTGGTGGCTTTCTGTTTGAAGTCTTTGGGTTGTGGTGAACGTCTGAGGCCGGAGCAGGATTTTGGTGTCCCTGCGTAAACCACTATAATCCTTTGTTAAAAGCCCCAGTTCTCTTATGCAGGTGTGTATCAAGAATTAGACGCTTATTGGCGTCATATCAACAACCCAGTCCTGGGACTCGAACCTCGAAGCACCGAAGCCTCTAGCCTAGGAGCCTGAACCTAAAAGCCTACAGGCCCAGACCTGACGCCTACATCCCCAACTTTCCTGAGTTCACCGAAATTCCCGAAAGGAAGGGCTACCCTAACCCGAAAGCCCGAAACCATACAATCTAGCCTTTTAGCCCAGAAGCCCCAAAGGAAGGGCTACAACCCGAATGACCTGGGTGAGTGGATCCTGGCACGCCGCCGCGAGCTTACAGATCCGCATGGCACCGAGACTGCTGCCGAGTGTTTCCGCTGGGCTCCTCGGACGTATTACAGCAGAAGCCCAACATTTGGCCATCCCAGAGCCTCAATCCTTAAGAGTAATGTATAGGGAATCCCAGCACTATTTGGCCTTAATCCGGTTTCCAACTGTACGGGGTTTACTGTATTGAGGCCTGAATCAGACCATAAGGGGTTGCTATATACGAGGGTTACTTCGGATAAGGGTACTGAAGTTCGTACCATATTGGTTTACTATAGGTGCCAGAAGAATTACTAAGTATTCCTTGGGGCTCTTGGTTTTAGTTATGATGAGGACCGCCCAATATTAGATTCTCATGTTACTAATCCCCTATGATAGAAGTACAGGACTGACGGGGTAAGGTCTTTTGGCAGTTCGGTGGCGTCGGCTCGGGGCACCGAATCTCTCGACCAGTCAGAGGATATAGTTTGTAGATGTATACATAGGTTTAGCAGTTCGGGGTTTGGGGTATATATATATATATATAGATATATAGCTCATAAGGGCTCGCATTGTTAAGATCTCGGGTATACGCCTCAGGGTTTTCGTTTGGACACTTTTCGGGCAGGAGAAGTTTACCTACGCCCACTGGCCTGACTGCTGCTACCTCCTCACCGCGGACGGCGACGCCGCGCCGGATCGGAAGCTCAAAGCTTTTGGTCCGCTCACGCCCCTCGGCCTAGTCGGGCTTCGGGGATGGCTCTCATCAACGCCTGCCAACTCCGAAACATGAACGACACACGCTCGATAAAGCACCAAACCCTCAACCCCAGAGAAGGGCAGGCCGCTCTGCAGCCGAAACCTATTCCCATCCTGAGCCCTATAAATACCCAAACCCCATTATGTCCGAAGCTCTCACCTCTAGTCTTGGTATTCCCCTGTGCTTCAGCCGAAACCCCGAAAACCCGAAATCCCAAAGCAACACTAAACTCCAAACCAGGGACCCCAAGCACTCAACCCTAAGCCATAAACCCTTCAAGCTTCAAGCCCTTAAAGCGCAAGACTTGGGTACTGCCCCCGCTCAGTAAGAGTTGGATGACCATATAGTTATATTAGGACCTTATATAGCCCTGTTGTAGACTGTTACTGTATGGGGGCAGTACCCAACGCAAAACCCACAACACTACAGACCTTAATCCGAAGGTCAGAGGAGGGCTTCCTGCAGCATGCGGAGTCCACAGCGGTCCTGGTTCACGCTTCCACGCAGCGAGTGGTGGGTGTGAGGGATTCTCGGCGATGAAAGTCTGCAGCCTTTGTGTAAATTCTACCCCACAATATCCATCCACTATGAGTGTTGCTTTATCAGAAAGCTGTACTCTATAGACTCTGCATGCACTTGCATTGTTTCGTACCCGTAGGATCACAAGCAGCCTGATGTGAGCTGAAGGCCTACGTCGAAGTCCCTCAGGCCCGAACTTTTGCGTGGATGTCAGGTTCCTTAAGTACCAAATGACCCTTAAAAAAGGGCCCCCATACAATTATACTATGAAACCCTATAAGGTATATATGAACCCTAAACCCTTTTAGGGTTCTTTTCGTCCTTAAGGTTGGAAACGGGGATGACTGCTATTTGCTGCAGTCCGTCATTGGAAGCGAAGAGCTCTGCGAGCAGCTACGAGCTCAAGAAGCTTCATCAAGCTGCTCGTTACTGTAGCACGCGTCGTTCCACTCCACGAGTTCGTAAAGCCGGTGACTACGGATGGAAGTTTCTGACCAAGGAGAGCTGCACTAGCGCGAGTTGGGTGTACGTGCAGACTGCCTGGCAAAGACGAGCAATGTCGTTTAGCTGATGGTCCAAAGTATTTGGCTGCGACATGGTTCGTTCCCACTTCGTGCATTGGAGCGCTCGAAAACTCGCATGCTCGGGGTGGGTGCCAGGTTTGTGGCTGCCACATGCATTCCTTCACACAAGCAGTGTTTCCCGGCACAGGCCGCGCTCCCCAACAGGCAAGGCGCTTCAAAATCCTTATGATAAACCTCTATAAAAAGCCCCAAATAAACTGTCTTCCCGACCGAGGCCCCGCCAGCGCCGGTCCCATAAATATCTCCGCAGCGGTTTCCGACAGCTCGGGATCAGAAGATTCGGCCACACCCTGAAGTTCAGAAGCGAGAGCCCTGAAGCCGAAAACCCTAAGCTCCCACACCCGTTCATTACCCGTAGGGGTCTGAACAATTAGTAATCGGCTTCCCTTGTTGTCCTGATTTTGCTTCACCACCCGTATAGCACAACCCTATTCTATATTTCTTGAGGAGCGTACATAGAAAGATCGATAGATACGAAGGCCCGACATAGGCAGGTAGATAGAAAGGTATACCTGAGAAGCCGGATGTTCGTGTATTTCAACCTCTGTCAGAAAGATCCCGAGTCTGTGCACGCTTCTCTATGCCGTGAAGATGGGAGCTCTGGTTTTCGGACAAGAGGCGTAGGGCTCATAGGCTTCTATGGCTTTCATGTGAGTAGTTGTCAAAATTAGGGCCCCTTCTTGGGAACCCTAAATATTAGGTGGCGTAACATGATAGGTCCCCAAAAAGGGACCATAATATTGACAACCACCCATGTGGGGTTCTACAAGATTTGGGATCATAGCATGTGCACATGCCTTACACAACTCGACATGGTGAGATCAGGATCTGTGGTCCTCTTCTGTATGTCTCGGCATTGTGGTTCAATGCAATTGACCGGAAACTGCGGGCCCAACCCATCCCAAACTGCAAACCCTGGCCCTGCAGACCCTTAAACCGTGAGCTTCCACACTTCGCTGTGTCATGTCCATAGCAGGGATCCAAAGGATCTTGCCAACTGCCTCTTGCCGAACGGCGCAAGACGCAAGCCGCTTCACAAAACGGCAGGAAGCGGCACATCACGACTACCACATAGGGTATTCATTTGTGCACAAACACGAAGGAATGACAATGATAATGACTGCATAGATACATACGGCATCTGTGGGCGGTGTGCCCGTAATCCTTTTGGGCTGTCTATGGGCTCAGGAACAGCACCTCGTGTGTAGCCTCTCGTGGGTAGTTTGGATCTCCCAGTCTTCTTTCCACACCTTCCAACTTCATTTCTGCACTGTCCGGCTCGTCTCGCCGAGTCTAACCTATAAACCTAAACCTGTTAACCCCCAAACCAGAAGCTATCAAGCCCAAACTCCTAAAGCTATGTGTGTGCTCTTTGCGAAGCGGCTGTGGGTGCACAGGAAACCTGCTCCCAAGGCGCCACTCCAACGAACATTTAGGCCAAGACGGCTAAAGGTTTAGGGTTTGGGGTTTATAGGGTTTAGGGTTTAGGTTCAAGGTGGTGGCTCGTTTCCAGCCAGGACGCAACACCCCACCAGCAACAGCAGGAACAACTGTCATTATCTAGGGTCTTCATCTAAACTCGAAAATACCCTCTATTCCAGGGCCGATACAGTAAGAGTAAGGGTAGGTTATGTCTTTCTATAGATGGGTGGTTGTCAGAATTAGGGTCCCTTTCTGGGTACCCTCAAGATTAGGTGCCGTATTACACTAAGGACCCAAAGAGGGGACCCTAATTTTGGCAACCACCCAGATAGTGATAGCTATCCCTGCACCTTATTTTGGGGGTCCATACAATGAGGATCCTATTATTAAGGGTACTATATTAGGGTCCCTCATTTTCGGAAACCACCAGATAGCTCTTGGGTGGCCGCCTTTGCAGGAGCAGCTTGCTCTCAGCAGACCGAAAGAGTTTGCACAGTGCCGATTCATCAAAGACAAGTGTGCCCAGTTCAGATGCTCAAGCATACCTAGTCTCCATTGTAGTTCCTGTTTTGGTGTTACTTTTGAAGGCGTGTAGCAGATAAAACTGGTTTAACCCAAAAAAGAACTACAGTAACTACAGTGGAGACTCTAGGCACTACACAGCACGATAATCCATGCCAAACAGCACTAATATCCCCCGGAAGACGGCTCCTGAACTCAAGCATATGTACAGACTACAGATGCCCTGAGCTGTGCATCCTAGAAGCCTCAAACTTCCCTTCTGACGGACCCTACTCGACCTTTGTCCTTGCTCTCTTCTCTCTAACTATGTATGTACGGGAATTCCAGTCCTCCCCTGGAGAAGCCATGACTTTAGCCTCGTAGAGGATCTGTGGGCTCCCCACGAAGCAGATGTTCTGCTTTAGCTTCAGGTCGACCGTCCACGCAAACCCGAGCTGAAACCCTGGGTATCATGCATGGCGATCCGAAAGTTTGAGCTATATAAGCGCGAGTACCCACACGGAAAGACCTCATTCTGCACACAGACCACATGAACAATCCTGTTGCGAGCTTGTGGTTTATACGACATTGAACTTTTCAGATGTTCTAATACTCCGTCAGTTTAATATACCGTATACTCTTAGAGAACCCTTAAGGCGGTGTTTGGGTTGCTGCGCTTGTTGCAAGTCAGCTGTTTCTGAATCCTGACGTCTTGCTGACCCCCCATGATCCGTCTCGCGCAGACTTGCCAACCGAAGCCTCGAATAAGACTGGCGCAGGAAGTAGAGCTGTAGCATCCCGCTGTCCTTCTGTAGTACATACCAAATGTTATTCCGACAGTCCCAACTTATGCTACACAAATTATAGAGCTTCGCTCTGCAGCCATTTCGCCGTCGAGCGGCACGAGCCACAGCATGTCTGACATCCTAAGCCCCCTGATCGGGCAACAACGCGTAAGGCCTCCACTGAATATGTCAACCCGAAACAAGGATGAGCCGTTCTTCTGTCCGGGGGTTTTGACGGTGATTCCCAACGCATGTCTCGTCTTTGACGGATTAGGTCCGTACCCCCTCGACTGAAAGATCAACCGGGGTCCTCTACCGTCGCATTGGTTCCCCATACTTTAATACTTTTTCTTAGAGAAACCATTATGAAATAAAAGTTTATACTTTTTTCTCCCTGGTTACTTAAAAGCCCACTATCAAAACCTGGCGATTAGGGTAGTTCGGCCTTAGGGCCAGAAAAAAATAAGGACCGCCTATGTATAGTTTCGGACCACAACAGCCCCGCTCTGTACCGTATGGCTGCTGGGCCTCCGCCAGAGACACTCAGCCTGAAGCAGGCACTGGAGGGCAAGGACTTAAGTTTCTGTCTGGGAGAGGCCAGATCAACAGTTGGAACCTACACCTACGCATGGCAAACCCTAAGCTATATGTTTCAGGATGATATCACCGGGGTTAGTCTCCTGCTGAATCTGGTGGATGTTTCTGCGGCATCAAGTGCACTTCCGCGCATCAGAGTGCAGGCATGCTCGGCTGGAATGCAACTGAGGCTGTGTCTCCTCGTTTTTGTGTTTTTCTATTTGTCTGTGTATGCGGGAAGGGGGGTCTGCTGCCCCGAGTAAGGATGTATGCTACTGCACGTTTAAACTTTTTAGAGGTTTCAGCTACCTCTGCCCTAACACCCTATAGATAGACTCTCAAAGAGTTAGTCACAACACTTAGGGTCACATTAAACGGCTTGCAAGCGCATTGATTAAGGCAGGGCCCGGAATGCATCAGACAGAAGCCCTGCGCTTAGAATGCCGGAATAACATTCTCTCAGCCAGCCTCGTTTGGTGTTTGGGGCCCGTTAATAGACCCTGAAAGCTCTGGCAGTTGGAGATCTTGGCATGGTTCGCCCGTCTGCGGTACCTCAACCAGGCCTTCACGGTGACTGTGTACATTTGGGCAGGTGCCTGGTGCGGGGTGTGAACAAACATGATTGTAGACGCGACTACCCTATAAACCCGAGGTGCACTATGCAGCTGACAACCATTTCAGGTCTGAAAGCCACCCCTGAACGCCTTGCGATCGTTTGAGGCCCTTTATACTTAATGGCAAAAAGGGCCCAACAAAGACTTACGGGAACCCCGAATGGAGCCCCGTAAACGAGCCTAGCACTTGACTGTTTCATTGCCACAGGCTACTATACAGTGAAAGCATGAGTAAGTGGTCAAAGCGTGTTTGTTGAGCTTTGTAGAGCTTTAGTATTCGCATATTGCAGCACACTCCCCCCACACAACAAAAATAGTAAACATGAGCATACTGCAAAACATGGAACACACCATCAGCACTTCCTCCCTGAAGCCGTTCCCTTGTCGGTTTCCAGTCTGGCAGATCTTCGTGAACAGATGATCATAGTCCTGTGGACTTTGCAAAAGCGGATGAACGCATCCTCAACCAATACACTCATGGACAGTCCTAAACTCCAGAACCAAAGTTACCACCTGGACATTCCTAAATGCCAGAGCCAAAATTGCAAACCCCGACACCTTTGTCTTTGAGTCGGCGCATCTCTGCAGGGGATGTAATAGAAGCTCAAATAGTTAATTACCAATACTATTTTGGGTGTAATTACCAATTCTATTTTGGGTGTTCCTCACTATAATTAATTATAGTATAATAATGGGCACCAAAACCCTATTCTAATTATTGAGGCCCCTATATTAGTTCAGATCTTATGGACCCTACACCCCAAGCCCTAAACCACCGAAACATAACTTCAGAGCCTCGCGCCCGGAAGCCCTCAACCCTGAACCCCTAAACCCCCAAACCCTGAACCCTAAACCAAAGCCACCATCAGCATCCTAGGACCCTGACTTACATTAACCCTGAAGCCGACACCGGAAGTGCAAAGGTTTGCAGCCATCCCCTGCTGAAGGCTACT